GGAAGGACAACAAATTGTATGTAAAACTGTTAGCCTTTGAGACAAACTGTTACTGTATACATAATACATACTGTAGGTATTTTTAAAATAGATCTGCAGTTCAATCAATAACAAAGCTGGCACCCCACCACTATTTAGGTAAAAACCTGAGGGATGGGGTTGGAGGAATGTTACCACTCAAATTCATAGACAGAACTATACATGAGTTCAGAATTATAAGAAGACAGTTGGTGTGTGTGTATGTGTGTGTGTGGGTGTGTGTCACAGGAGGTTGGTGGCACCTTAATTGGGGAGGACGGGCTCATGTTAATGGCTGGAGCAGAATGAGTGGAATGGTATCAAATACATCAAACACATGTTTTCCATGTGTTTGATGCCATTCCATTTGCGCCGTTCCAGCCATTATTATGAGCCGTTCTCCCCTCAGCAGCCTCCACTGGGGTGTGTGTGTGTGTGTGTGTGTGTGTGTGTGTGTGTGTGTGTGTGTGTGTGTGTGTGTGTGTGACAAACACACCCAGTGGAAAAAAGCCAAGTGGAGTTAGCTAGCTGGAGGTGACAGCTTAAAGACTGTCAGGCAGCTTTCTGTTGCTATACCCCCAGGGGAGTTCCCTCTGTCTGCACCATGTTAAAGAACATACACCACGCTACGTGCCTCTCTGCTCACATATCATTTGCACTGCTGCTATAAGGGCATCAAAAGAAAAAAGTCATTTTGTAAAGGAGACGTTTGGGGGGGTGATATCATAGAATACATCCACACCAACTCAGATGGATCTCAAGGGGGGATTAACACACACACACACACAGAGAAGCCGTCACAGTGTGAATGTGGTGATCTGAGGCAGGGTGATCCTTAGTGCAAGTGACTGGGTCACATGGTCAAATGTAACAGAACCCTCCCACTCTAGAACCATACCAGCTCCATTCTCCTCTTCTCCACTGAGCTCATGTTCTGTCACAGCTAATGAGAGTGGTGGAACCGGAGTGATGGATCCCCTCCGGCATCTCCTCACAGAGAACTAGCCTACACTCAGTGTGGTGGAGATAGAGATCTCTGTTTTTATAATACAGGGAGACACATTAGCTAATTACTATTAGCTTGTTTCATTTTGTTCAATTCATGTTAGGTCCTTTCTTATTTTGAGCCAACGGTTTGTGAAAGAAACCTAGTTTTCTTCATATACTGTAAAACATTATGCATAAATTGTGAATTACACCAAAAAAACTGTTTAACCATTAAGGCAAGGTAGTCTGCGGGCTACAGTCCACAACAATAACACTGCCTTGTACACTTTTTACAAGGTTGGTTCCCTTCCGGCTAGAGGGGACAGCCAGTTTTGTCCTTGAGATCCTATTCCCAGTGTAGCTCTCATACTCTCCATGGTGATTTATAGATGGTATTGTTGTGTTTCTCAATATCGTTCAATACACAGCCCGTCCCCCTGCCACTCTGGACCTTGTCATGGCTTCCTTCCAAATGGCACCCTATTCCCTATGTAGTGCACTACTTTTGATCATGGCCCATAGGGCTCTCGTCAAAATTAGTGCACTATATAGGGAATAGGGTGCCATTTCGGACATAGTCCCTGTCTCAGATCTCTGCCTGGTGCTATAAGGCCCCTGATGGCCCTGGGGCCCCTAGACACACTAATTGGTTTGGGGAGGATTTTGATAGCCTGGAATCCAAACTGATGCTCCGTTTTAATGGTGAAACTGAGCATATCAGTTTAGATTCCAGGCTATGATTTTTTGGTCATTTCAGTTTTAATAAGAGGGAATTCAACACTGTTTGTGTTATGTGGGCAAGAAAGAGGATGCACTGTCATGGGCCTGTCCTGTCTAACCATATAAAGCACCCGTTGAAAGGGAGGTAAGGGCACATACACCGACCTACGCATGGAGACATGCACACAGCATAGGCTCATATGCACTCCAAAATACTGATGCCACAGGGAAGAAGTCGTAGTACATCCTTTTTCCAAAAAAAACATAGTGTATGAGAGTTTAGCCATGCTTTCAAAATATCTGTAACTTTACACACATAAAACAAACACTATTTACATGTGTTGCAACATACATGTTAAATAAACAGCTGTTAAATTGGACTGGATGGAATGAAGTGGAACAGCATTCATCCACATTTGGATGGAGGAGAGGATGGAGCCAATGCTAACTGTCAGATGGACATAAAACTGTCAATTAAAAATGATCTCTCAGAGCTTACCCATTTTGAAGTCAGGTCCACGACAACCTTCCCAATTTAAGCCCTGATATTACTGTAGTGTAAGTGTTAGTTGAAGAGCTATTTCAAATCAATCATTATATTGGATAGCACATTCACAGAAAATAATAGTCTACTTACTATCAGAATTAAAAAATGTGTTGATCTCTTTGGGCACATTTCATTCTGTTATGTTACACTTCTTCAGAAAGCAGGGAAATCTATGCCCTTAACCTGTGAAGCTAGGTGCTTCCTATACGTGCTGTAAAAATGAAGAATCAAAGCAATAGTCTTTATGCAATGCCTGCTCTCTTCCTAGTCCACTTTCTCTATCCATAGTGAAATGCATACACCTTTGCTTTGAAATATTGGAATTGCTGTGGTTTAATGATAATAAAAGTCAATTTTTGCAGATAACCGCAACAAGACAAAGACACTTGCAGACACTGCCACCTATTGGCAAGAGAGGAAAGCTATCTGGCTAAACTAAGGCATACAGTGGCTTGCGAAAGTATTCACCCCCTTGGCATTTTTCCTATTTTGTTTCCTTACAACCTGGAATTAAAATAGATTTTTGGGGGATTTGTATCATTTGATTTACACATCATGCCTAGCACTTTGAAGATACAATTTTTTTTTTTGATGAAACAAACAAGAAATAAGACAAAAAAACAGAAAACTTGAGTGTGCATAACTATTCACCCCCCCAAAGTCAACACTTTGTAGAGCCACCTTTTGCAGCAATTACAGCTGGAAGTCTCTTGGGGTATGTCTCTAAGCTTGGCACATCTAGCCACTGGGATTTTTGCCCATTCTTCAAGGCAAAACTGCTCCAACTCCTTCAAGTTGGATGGGTTCCGCTGGTGTACAGCAATCTTTAAGTCATACCAGAGAATTAGATTGAGGTCTGGGCTTTGACTAGGCCATTCCAAGACATTTAAACCACTCGAGTGTTGCTTTAACAGTATGCTTAGGGTCATTGTCCTGCTGGAAGGTGAACCTCCGTCCCAGTCTCAAATCTCTGGAAGACTGAAACAGGTTTCCCTCAAGAATTTCCCTGTATTTAGCGCCATCCATCATTCCTTCAATTCTGACCAGTTTCCCAGTCCCTGCTGGGATGGTGTTCTCGGGGTGATGAGAGGTGTTGGGTTTGCGCCAGACATAGCGTTTTCCTTGATGGCCAAAAAGCTCAATTTTAGTCTCATCTGACCAGGGTACCTTCTTCCATATGTTTGGGGAGTCTCCCACATGCCTTTTAGCGAACACCAAACATGTTTGCTTATTTTTTTCTTTAAGCAGTGGCTTTTTTCTGGCCACTCTTCCGTAAAGCCTAGCTCTGTGGAGTGTACGGCTTAAAGTGGTCCTATGGACAGATACTCCAATCTCTGCTGTGGAGCTTTGCTGCTCCTTCAGGGTTATCTTTGGTCTCTTTGCTGCCTCTCTGATTAATGCCCTCCTTGCCTGGTCCGTGAGTTTTGGTGGGCGGTCCTCTCTTGGCAGGTTTGTTTTGGTGCCATATTCTTTCAATTTTTTTATAATGGATTTAATGGTGCTCCGTTGTATGTTCAAAGTTTCTGATATTTTTTTATAACCCAACCCTGATCTGTACTTCTCCACAACTTTGTCGCTAACCTCTTTGGAGAGCTCCTTGGTCTTCATGGTGCCGCTTGCTTGGTGGTGCCCCTTGCTTAGTGGTGTTGCAGACTCTGGGGCCTTTCAGAACAGGTGTATATATACTGAGATCATGTGACAGGTCATGTGACACTTAGATTGCACACAGGTGGACTTTATTTAACTAATTATGTGACTTCTGAAGGTAATTGGTTGCACCAGATCTTATTTAGGGACTTCCTAGCAAAGGGGGTGAATACATATGCACGCACCACTTTTCCGTTATTTATTTAGTATAATTTTTTGAAATAAGTTATTTTTTTCATTTCACTTCACCAATTTGGAATATTTTGTGTTTGTCCATTACATGAAATCCAAATAAAAATCAATTTAAATTACAGGTTGTAATGCAACAAAATAGGAAAACCGCCAAGGGGGATGAATACCTTTGCAAGGCACTGTAGAGATTGTCTAACTCCCAAATGGCACCCTATCCCTATAAAGTGCACCCTATGGGCCTATGTCAAAACTAGTGCACTATATAGGGAATACGTTGACATTTGGGATGCAGCCATAGACATTGATGTCCGTGGTAAAGTGTCTTCTTGCAGTGATCTGAAAAGCCTTCGCTGTGATGGATGGCAAAGCCCAGCTGACCATATTGCTGTGCTAATAAAAACCTGCCCTGCAATTCACATACCTCACTGTGTTTTTTTTTACTCCGGCACCATTGCTTTTAAGAGGAAAACTGGTTTAGGTGTCAAAAAGAACGATGCCCCTCCTCAGACCACGACTCACCTCAGAGGTATAGAATGAAAGGAGAGCTATATTTACAACTACGTTTTCTACCGGGTTGAGACAGCAGGATGGACCTTACAGATCAAACTTTTACCTCACTACTCCTTACTTGAAAGTTTTGACTTGATGTTTCATTACAAGGTGGACAGTTACTGTACAATAACAATGATTTTAATCAAAATGTAAAAAGGAACAAGGAGAAAAAGATACAGCATAATAATAAATGGATCAAATAAAAAAGAAGACCTTGAAAGAAACAAAAGCAGCGAGTGTATAAAATGCAGTGCTGCTAACACTATCAAATGATGAGGAACTATCTGATGGCGAGCAAGCTGTTGCCATGCAACATGAACCATGGGCCATCATGGTGTCAGTACACAATGCAGTCAGCAGAGGATCGCTGGGTACACAGGAAGTCACTTGTTATCTCTTTGTATCCAGGGGTGTCTGTAAGGCCACTTCCTGTTTGAATTACAAGGAGAACGATTAGTGACAACATTTTATAATTAATGTGCAGATTATCCAATATATGTATTAGAGGTATCCATCTCACCTTCCATGAGATTATAGAGGTTGCAGTAGTTTGTGCCATGATCTCTAATGGCGTACCAGCTCTCTGAGACAGACATGGCCTGCAGAGAAAGAATGGTTCTGGTTAGAATAAGTGTTTTAGACCTGAGACAAGTTACTGTAGTGTTAGCTGCAGATAATCCACGAAAAATATATGATCCTAAAAAGGCCTACACATGATATTATTGTCCTTATATGTCATATGGATGTATAGAAGTGACAACAGGATCAGAGAATATCCCTCTTACCGAGACGTGACAGTGGGTGAAGAACTCAAAGGAGACCAGACGGAACGTGAGGTCATCGACAGACTTCTTAAACGGTGTGGTGTGTTTGGCTGCTATGAAGTGTATAGAGGCTGCCTGGAGCTGGGGAGCAGCGAGAAAAAGAAAGAGATAGAGATAGAGATAGAGATAGAGATAGACAGAGACAGAGACAGAGACAGAGACAGAGACAGAGACAGAGACAGAGAGACAAAGAAATATGCAACACCCATAGGGTTGTAAAACTACCAGTAATTTACCAAAGTTACTGGAATTTTCTCTAATTTTGGTAATTAACAGGTAATGTATGACAATCTATGGTAACTTTGGTAATTTATACTTAAATAACTAAAAATATCTATTCATAAAAAATATGAATTCAAGAGAAAACAGCTTAATTAATTAAAAAAGCATCTAATCAACAATGACATCATTTCCAATTAACTTTTCCAACAATGTACTTTCTTCACAACTGCCAACAGTTTGGCACCAAAACATTTACAACAATCACATATTGACAGAGTAAATAAAGTTGAGTAAAAATGTTAATGCTGGAACCCTTACATTAAACACCAACGGTATTCACTAAGTTGATTGATTATATTTAGGTTTAGGATAATGTTTTACAGCTTTGTCACTCAATGTTTTATATTAAAATAATCTCAATTCATGATTTTATATATTTGACATGTTTTGAAAATTCCATAAAATCCTTGAATGTTTCTAAAAATTCTGGTAGTTTACTGGTAAACTTTGAAAGTTACCAGTAATATACCCTCCCTTTGTAACCCTAAACACACACAAGTAATTATACAAATAGAAACACACACACACACACACACACACCATACCTTGTAGAGGCACCTCTGGCCCCCCAAGGCACAACTGGACATGGTCCTCCACTGCTTGATCTGAGTGACCAGACCTTCATAGACCTGTCTACAGGGGATCCCAAAGTACCTGCAGTCGGACGCAGAACATAGAAATACATAGATGACAGGGCTCAATTCTTAGTCTCGTCCGCCATCTTTCCACAGCTTGTAGTTGAGAATCCTGGGCCTCCGAGGCTACTTCAATACCAGTATCCGCCACAGTCATTTCAGGTAAAATGGCACTGGCGCCATCTTATGGATACAGAGGGTAGTGTTCAACTGGGCCTATCATAGAACTGCTAATTAAATTCACAAGTGGTTGTGATAAATCAGCACCATGTAAAGCTATTTATGTTTATTTGGAGCCATTTTGTGCAAAGAGCTATAATAAATTATTAGTTATCATGAGGGGCATGCACTTTGGATTTAGTCCATGAGATCATATGTTTGTATTGATATGGGTCAGACCATAAAACAGCAACAGTGAACAACAACAATAAAAACAACCAGAACCACAATAAAAACAGCACGCACCATGTGGTCAAAACACAGACATATAGTCATAGCCTAATAATGGTCAAACCGTAGCTTACCATTCTACTTTGCATTGCGCATGGAGAGGTCCCGCGGATGTGATCTTGAGATTTGAGGTCGCAAAAACTAGAGCCACTGCAAGGATCCACCCTGTCAAATGCATCTTGTGAAAAGTAATATTTTTTAAGCAGTATCCAACTAACACATTCACATCCCCAACAACAAAGTTCTGAGGCCTATTTTGGGAGACGGATAGAAAATCACAGGATGGTCATGTGAGTTTAGAGGAAAGGAAGCAGCCTAAACTCAATTAACTTTAGAAAAAAGATCCATCATTCTACAGAGCAGAGACCGTCCACAGAGCCACAGAGGGCAAGACTAGAGAGACATCTACGGGTCATTGAAATGAAAGCATTCACTGCAAACTTGTGAAATTGAACATACATTATGGCCATACATTCCAGGCACTTGCATGTTCAGGGTTCAATAATTAATTGGAGACTCTCCAGAAAGGAGAGAAAAAAGTTCTTAAAAGTTGTTGTAAGAGGATAAATAGGACATTCACTTTTTTGTGGTTGCAAATAACATCAATTTTTTACATTGGTTAACTCATTCTTTAGAATAGAATATAACTTTAATTTGATCCCTAGAGGGGTCTGTATGTGTTCGTTGCTCATGTTTTCCCAGAAATTGAAAAAAAGGGTAGTGTAGTCCACAGTAGGCTATAGGCAAACCTTCCTGTATCGTTGACGTGGACACACCATTCAATATTTTGGGCTGTGAATTGCATCCAAGACCCGCCCCGAAATGTCGCATTCACTCCGCCTCACCGGCGCACTTACCTATCCTTGCCCAGAGGTGTGTAATAGAACACGCCCCTTCCAAATCCAACTTCCAATCCGTGGACAGAATTTGCCAGACCCCCTCCTTTGATGCCGTCCTTTCACTATAGAACGCTCAATACCCCACGTCCGCTACATTTTGAAGACGCGTAGGTTGTGGAACATTTAAATAGATGTAGCCCGAGCCGCGAGCTAGTCGTGGACTGGATACTTCTGTTCATAATGTAAATGATCCCCGTGTCCTCCACGCGTGTTGAAATTTGTTCACGCAGCGCGCAGTTTCCATTTTTCCCACACAACTTTCATCTGCTTGGACCCGTCCATCGGCCGGATACATATTTGTACAGATGACCTAAACATCCAGTAAGTCACTGACATGACACACATACAGTAGGTTGACAGTTTGTCCACATTTATGCCATTGTTTGCTCTACTAATGCTGTTTGAGCATATGTGCTTTGGTAATTATTTTATAGACACTTTTTAAAGTTACAACATCGAAATCTTCAAGTAAACAAATAAAACATTTCTACAGGTATCACATTTCCATATTTGCTTGCTACTTAGTAGGCTACACTGCACTGTACTAGGCTACAAACTTAATACTGTTTTTCTTCCTATTCAATTTCTGTCACAATTATGTTCTTCTGTTACCTTTTGACAATCTTTTTTTTTTTTTTAATCCTCGGGGATTAATGGTTTCGGTTTAATGCCGTGGGAATGGAAGTCATGTGGATTCTGCTCTCAGATCTCGAGTTCTTCACATTCCGTCCTGTGAATGAAACCCAGGAGATTCGGATTGGAACAGGCTAATTATTCATAGATTTCATCTCCGTCACTCGGTCGCGTCAAACCATTCTTATGAACCGTTCTCAAGCCGCCCTCTATCGGCGTCGTCATAGTGGTGCCCTAAAGTGGTTATAAACCCAGTCAGTCATTCTGGATGGAGGTAACTACTGTTTTGTCTAAATTACACTATAGTGCCTGGAAATACGATGACATTGCAAAAGTAGTCAAATATGTAGTAGGAAACTACTTTGCCAGCATTATCATGTATTCGAATATACTTTAGACAGATGGCAATGTTGTCATTAGCTAGCAAAGTTAGTCAATACTGCATCTAAAGTCAATTTGGTGACATCAAAATTGACAAAAGGTTTTCCTACTAATAATTTGCCTCCTTTTGAATGTCATTGTATTTCCAAGCAACTGTAAAGATTGCAGTCAGAGTGCAGTATCACTGCAGTATGCTGCAAATACTACATCCAAAATAACACTGTTTTTTTTACTGTAGTAATTTTGTAGTGTAACTGCAGTTAGAGTGCAGTATAACTGCAGTTCCACTGCAGTACATTGCAGCTATTCTGCAATTACTGCATCCAAAATACCACAGCTGACTGCAGTTACAGACTTTTACTGCAGTTTAAAAACTGCAATATGTTTTTGTAAGGGCACTCATTGACGATGCATTGTGTAGAATGCTCAGTCGGGCATCAATCGGTTCAAAACGAACGTTCAAACGAATATTGTGACGAAACATGCAACCCATGATATTCACGATAGTCACGTCTATTATAGGCATTGGTTGAAGCTTGGTGTTAAATTAAAATCTCCCTATCATCATATCTAAGCCAATATGACACCAATCTCGATGAAAACTCAACGTGATTGGAGGTACATAACACACTCCCCGCCTATCGTCATCAGCCGTCCGTCAATTACCGAGAACCACATACCAGATTTTTTTAGCAATTGAGTTTTAAGAGTATTTCTTGCACCTACCTAGCTCAAATTCTAGAGGTCGGATTAAAACTAGACTATAGCGTCCATAAAGTGACCATTGGATTAAAAAAATGCCGGATTGACTAAATTTGTAGGTGCAACAGTTTTTTATAAAATGTATAATTTATCCCTCTCACGTGCACATTTCCGTCCGTTAAGAAACAACGATGTGCTACGATGTGTAGGATTTCTGACAATGCTAACATATTTTTTAGCCGTCGTCGCTCGACAACAACACAGCTGCTTGCCCCATGATGCCAGTCATAAGAAGTGTATGCGAACAAACCTAGGCTACTGTATATAGCTAGCTACATGGTGGTATTCAAGCTGAGGTTAATCAATAAATGCAAACAGAGATTAGCTAGGTAGCTAACTTGCTAACGTTACCTAGCTAATGTTAGCTTGCGTGTACAAAGTCCAGCAGCTAGCCTCTGTAGCTAGCTAACATCAGTCAGCTGAAAGCTGGCTAGCTAACGAACAGGCAAATAAAGGTAGCTAGCCAATGAATGTGATTTTGTTTTGATTAGCTAGCTAGCTAGCTAACATAATGTTATACCAATCACATGAGAGCTAACGTTGGCTAGGTAGCTAACCAACAAGCGAGGAAAGCTATCTATCTATATTTTGCCAAGTAAGGTACTTCTCACATAAGGCTGAAGTCATCATGTGTAAACTGCTGATCTAGACACTTGCGTATAATCGGAGCACAAAAAAATATGCACAAATAAACTCAACTGGCTTACCTGGTTAAATAAAGGTTAAATAAAAATAAATAGTTAGTTAACATTAGTTTTGTTAAGTTTAAAACCACCAAACATTAGGAAACTGCCACGCTGATCACGTTCATTTGCATTGCACAGACCAAATGACAGTAACGTTAAGACAAGGTTTGCCAGATTTCAGACAGGACAAACACTGCAGTTAGCTATGCTACATTTCCTCGACTAAGAACATCCAAGACCACAACACAAACCATAGCTGAGAAAACAAATTGCTTTGTTAAGAAACAGTAAATTAGCTATGTTGAACCGCATATAGTAAATGGTTGAAACCAAAATGCACATGTAAACAGAACCTCAGTTGTGCATGCTTACCAGACTGACAGCACGTGTCAAATAAATTCAAGCTCCGGCATAAACTCCCTCTCCTGCTGTCTTGACATTTATAATCCAAATGTGTGCTGAGTGATCAACACGGTGTCAAATAAATGTTCTGTGTGTTTACAGACAATCTGAAATCGCCATCCACAAGTAAATTGTAGTCGGGGTGCTCCACACTCTGCACCAGGTTAAAATGACAACATCAGAATCATTGCTTGCTTATTTGACTTGCTGTTTGAGAAGGTTTGAATCCTAAGCAACCTGCCTATACATAGTTTGAAGGAGAATACCAACATAGCTAGTGTAGTAGGTCAAAGCTATGTGCTGGAAAACCTTGGTAGAGCATGGGTGGAATAGGCATTGTGGTGCTCATGTGAATTCCATTAATTTTTTGGCTTCAGACCAATGCCTATTCTCACTTAAAATGTAGTTTCTTGTTTTTAATAATGTTTAATTGATCAGCAAGACCACACAGTCAACTCTATAGGAGTACTAGCCAAACTCTGACTATCAATACAGAATGTCTTACTTAGTCAGCGTATACACTACAATTAAGAGGAACTACCAAGGGTGTTTCAGGTGTTTCCAGACATGTAATTCCAGTATGTTGAAATGCCTTAATCTATGATGATGTCTCTGTTCCTGTCTGCCCAGTCTCTGAAATTATGGAGAAAAGACAAGCTGATTCACGGACCACTGTGGTGGAGGACCAAAACACATGGCATGAGCTAGCTATAATGGACCCAGTGGACAAACCACACCTGGTTCACAAGGTAAAACACACCCATTGCCCATGTCAGTGAATCAGGCTAAGCTCTCTGATGAGTAGGAAAAGCACTACACAATGGCCGCCGAGGGGAATATGCTGTGTGAATAGGGGCACTTTGCTTAAATAAAAGTTGTCCTGCTTACCCTGTTGCTGTTATTAGTCATTTCAACTGGTTGTGACTCAGACAGAATGTGAAGTGTTTGTTTGCATTTAAGATACTATATAGTCAGTTAGTTGTATGTCGGCCATTCATTGCTGTGGTATTACTGTGCTATAGAAGAGAAAGCTTATAGACACATTTCCCGGCACATTTCCCAGAATCAGAAAGCTCTTTGTTTACCTAGCAGTGGATACAATCACATGCAACTTCAAATGCAGCTCATGAAAGTTAACAAACACGTAATCAAATGGTTATCGACTACAACATCGCAGATGTCATCAGAGGATTGATTACCTAGCAAGCTAGCAAGCCAGCGAAGCAAGGTAAAATATCACAAATGGAGCTAGATAAAGCCAGAAGAATATTATACTTGTTGAACATAGCTATAGCCATCAGTCTTGCATGTTTTCATGGTCATCACTCACTCACTGTTAAGTTTGTCAAGGTTCCGACTTTAGCGTTAGCTATCCTTCTACAGAGCTTTTTGGTCGGGGGATGCGTGCGCATCACTCGAAAGTGATGTTGCCTCTCCTCTCCTCTCTCCTCTCCCGAAGGACTCAGAAGACCAGGAGGCTCTGGTGTTGAATGGGTCTAAACATCCTAAACATCGCCCTCTGCTTGTCTCCTTCGCCCTGGAGGAGTTTGAGTTTCCCTCCAGCGTCTGTTTAGAAGAGATGCCCCTCTTCCCCCAGTGGCACCTACCCCTCAAACTGATGGCCATCTTGATGGCGCTGACCTTCCTGTACACCTTTATGAGGGATGTGCTGCAGCCCTTTGTGTCTCAGAGCAGGAGTGACTTCTATAAGATCCCTATACTGGTGATGAATAAGACCCTGCCATGGACGGCCATATCTCTGCTTGCTCTGGTCTATCTGCCTGGGCTACTGGCTGCCCTGCTACAGCTGCACAGAGGTAGGCTACATGCATACACATACTGTATGTATGGAGGCAGGTACACACACACATGCACACACACACAGACACACACACACATGCAGGCAAGCACATACATATACATACTCCTAAGTATGCTCAAAGTCCTACACTTAAATTTGCCCATTACTATGTGCTACACATGATGCTTTTCCTTTGAGACTTACAGTGGGGAAAAAAAGTATTTAGTCAGCCACCAATTGTGCAAGTTCTCCCACTTAAAAAGATGAGAGAGGCCTGTAATTTTCATCATAGGTACACGTCAACTATGACAGACAAAATGAGAAAAAAAAATCCAGAAAATCACATTGTAGGATTTTTTATGAATTTATTTGCTAATTATGGTGGAAAATAAGTATTTGGTTAATAACAAAAGTTTCTCAATACTTTGTTATATACCCTTTGTTGGCAATGACACAGGTCAAATGTTTTCTGTAAGTCTTCACAAGGTTTTCACACACTGTTGCTGGTATTTTGGCCCATTCCTCCATGCAGATCGCTGGGCAACACAGACTTTCAACTCCCTCCAAATATTTTCTATGGGGTTGAGATCTGGAGACTGGCTAGGCCACTCCAGGACCTTGAAATGCTTCTTACGAAGCCACTCCTTCGTTGCCCGGGCGGTGTGTTTGGGATCATTGTCATGCTGAAAGACCGTGGAGCCCCAGATCGAGGGAGATTATCAGTGGTCTTGTATGTCTTCCATTTCCTAATAATTGCTCCCGCAGTTGATTTCTTCAAACCAAGCTGCTTACCTATTGCAGATTCAGTCTTCCCAGCCTGGTGCAGGTCTACAATTTTGTTTCTGGTGTCCTTTGACAGCTCTTTGGTCTTGGCCATAGTGGAGTTTGGAGTGTGACTGTTTGAGGTTGTGGACAGGTGTCTTTTATACTGATAACAAGTTCAAACAGGTGCCATTAATACAGGTAACGAGTGGAGGACAGAGGAGCCTCTTAAAGAAGAAGTTACAGGTCTGTGAGAGCCAGAAATCTTGCTTGTTTGTAGGTGACCAAATACTTATTTTCCACCATAATTTGCAAATAAATTCATTAAAAATCCTACAATGTGATGTTCTGGATTTTTTCTTCTCAATTTGTCTGTCATAGTTGACGTGTACCTATGATGAAAATTACAGGCCCTCTCATCTTTTTAAGTGGGAGAACTTGCACAATTGGTGGCTGACTAAATACTTTTTTTCCCCACTGTAAGGCGTCCGCATGCTTCCCAGCCGAAACAGTTTGGAACAGTTTGTGCATATATTATGACGACATTTTGTGACGTTTTTGTTCGTTTTGGACTTTTTTCGGATATTCGGGCACACAACATGTTTTCTGGAGGCAAGCCGAAGTCGGTAGCCGATGTCAGTAGCCGAAGTCTACGCCTCTTCATCGATGATTGGTCAACAGTAGAGATTCTTCAATAACGTCTTAGTTGTCATTCCACGAGAGACGACTCGTTTTCATGCACATTCTGTCGTTGACAAATACTGCACCAAACATCTTAGTAGATGTAAAATTGCGCGACTAAGATCTCCTCGGCAAAAACGTTCAATTTAATGACAGATTTTCTGAGTTATCTTAGATTCATTCTGACTGTTTTGAGGAATAGTCTGGCTACGGCTTCTCAAAATGGACAAACAATACTATTGCTGCTTTTTTCTCGTTTTGCAAGCGAAGGTCTTTTAAGGGAGTATGCGAGCACACTTGTTCAGTTCGCCTAGCCGACTTCGGCTAGCCGCCAGCCGAACTGAAGCATGCTGACGCCTTTACCTCCACACCAGTGGGCCGCCAGTGTTTTATGTTAATGTTAGCTCTAGTGTTATTATATCAGGAGTGTGACACTAAATACTTGTGGCGAGCAGGATCAACAACCTCTGCATCATTCAAGACTGTTGGTTTGTGAGGTGTTAAAATTCACACAGCCATTTTTATGTAAATAGCATCTGAAAATTTCAAATCAAAGTTTATTGGTCGTATACACAGAATTGCAGATGTTATCACAGGTGCAGCTAAATGCTTGTGTTTCTAGCTCCAACAGTACAGTAATACCTATAAATACATTTTTATTTAACACAATACACACATCATCCAGAAAAAGAAAAAATAATAAAGAAATATCAGAACGTGCATTTACATTCATCTAGCACACTTTTTCATATTTTGTTTTTACTGGTACCCCATGGGAATCGAACCCACAACCCTGGCGTTATAAGTGCCGTGCTCTACCAACCACACGGGATGTTAGAGAAGTTAGATAGATGGAAACGGAACATTTAAAAAGTGAATCCTCAATGGAAAAGCGCGATTAGGCCTACTACCACAAACAGTACAATTTGAAATGTCATTGGAGTGCACATTTGTACACATACTTCCACAAACACACACTGACATGAAATCAGTGCAGTGAGACACACAGTTTGCATAAGCGCAGTTGGAGTGGATTTATTTACTTATTTATTTAAGTTTAGAGAATAAATGAAATCCTATTTATAGTTGTTATGAATTAGCCAGAGGTTGTTTTTCCCTGCAGGAAGGTCTACTCTTGTCTGCCTGGCAGAAGAACCTCAAGAAATTATGTGTCATTGTGTCAACACCAACACCCTAGTCAAATAAATGCTCCAGTTTGACCTTACTACCCCCCCCCCCCCCCCGCTCCTCTCCTTGTCTGACCCTTCCCCTCAATCTCCCCTCCCCCTCTTCATCTCTCCCGCCCCCTCTTCATCTCTCTCTCTGTTCAGTCCCTACTCATAAGGGTAATTGGAGCCTTGCAGTGTATAAATATAGGTTGAGGTTTCCTCAGTGCAATGCAATTGTAGGGGGTTGAAAATATGCAGCCAGCCACAATGGAAGCAAGCTTCATCAGGTTCACAAATAGATAGGATAGGATAACACATAGGATTTTTGGGGCTGGGTTTCCCTACAATAAAGGTCAATGGATCATATGAAAAGTACTGAAGTTAGTCTATATTAGGGTTCCACTGACAGCCAGACAGCCAGGATGTGGCAACATAGTGTCAAACCAGAACATTTGTTTGACTAGGATGTTGTTGTTGACACGATGACACACACTATCGTGAGGTTCTTCTGCCAGGCAGACGAGATGTAGATCCACCATGTAAAAATGACTTTCCCAGCTCTCTCTCTCTCTGTCTCTCTGTCTCTCTGTCTCTCTGTCTGTCTGTCTGTCTGTCTGTCTGTCTGTCTGTCTGTCTGTCTGTCTGTCTGTCTGTCTGTCTGTCTGTCTGTCTGTCTGTCTGTCTGTCTGTCTGTCTGTCTGTCTGTCTGTCTGTCTGTCTGTCTGTCTGTCTGTCTGTCTGTCTGCCTGTCTGTCTGTCTGTGTCTCTCTCTCTCTCTCTCTCTCTCTCTCTCTCTCTTAGGTACCAAGTACAGCAGTTTCCCAGGCTGGTTGGAGAGGTGGATGTCTATGAGGAAACAGCTGGGCCTGCTAGCCTTCTTCCTAGCAGCACTCCATGCTATCTACAGCCTCTGTTACCCTATGAGACGCTCCTACAGATACAAGCTGCTCAACTGGGCTTACCAACAGGTAGATGGCTACTGGCTAGACCAGGCTTGTATAAAACATTTTGTATAACTGTTGATACGCATTTTATACTATGATGAACAGAAGGCTGCTTATTTCATCAATATGGTGTATATTCAATCAAACTCAATCAATCAAATGTATTTTTATAAAGCCCTTTTCATATCAACAATTGTCACGAAGTGCTTATACAGATACCCAGCCTAAAACCCCAAAGAGCAAGCAATGCAGATGTAGATGCACAGTTGCTAGGAAAAACTCCCTAGAAAGGCAGGAGCTAAGCAGAAACCTAGAGAGGGACCAGGTTCCAAGGGGTGGCCAGTCCTCTTCTGGCTGTGCTGGGTAGAGATTATAAGAGTACATGACCATTTAAGGTTAGATCGTTCCTCAAGATGTTCAAACATTCATAGATGACCAGCAAGGTCAAATAATAATCACAGTAGTTATAGAGGGTGCAACAGGTCAGCACCTCAGGAGTAAATGTCAGTTGGCTTTTCATAGCCAAGCATTCAGAGGTCGAGACAGCAGGTGCAATAGAGAAATAGGGAGATAGTGAGAGAGAGAGCGAAAGAGAGAGAGATAGGGTTGTATATTGGTATATCATTTCATGACAGGGTAAACCAATTCTTAGGTGACAAATTATGGTGCCAGGTTTCTGTTGGCGTTGAGGTGGGAGCGTTTTGTTATGTGCTGTATGCCGGCCAGCATAAACAGAACCACCTGATCGTTGTGTACTTTTCTCAGTATGGAATCTAATGTGAATATGAAGAATAATAACAGCTATTATTGAAAGCCAACTTTATATTGACTCTGTTGCCCATCCCAATACGCCAGTTCTCAATCAGGCATTGTTGTCAGATGTGACTTTGATATGTGTATGTGAAATGCTTATTTGATAAATATGGCGTATATTCAATCAATCAAATGTATTTTATAAGGCCCTTTTTACATCAGCAGTTGTAACAAAGTGCTTATACAGATACCCAGCCTAAAACCCCAAAGCGCAAGCAATGCATATGTATGGTGGCTGGGAAAAACTCCCTAGAAAGGCAGGAACCTCGAGAGGAACCAGGCTATACGGTGTCAGAGGAAGGCCCTAAAAATTGTCAAAGACTCAAGCCACCCAAGTCATAGACTGTTCTCTCTGCTACCGCACGACAAGAGTTACCGATGCACCAAGTCTGGAACCAACAGGACCCTGAACAGCTTCTACCCCCAAGCCATAAGACTGCCAAATAGTTAGTCAAATAGGTAACCAAATAGCTACCCAGACCATCTGCATTGACCAACTCTTTTGACTCATCACATATGCTGCTGCTACTGTTAATTATCTATCCTGTTGACTAGTCACTTTACCCCTACCTGTATGTACATTATCTACCTCAATTACCTCGTACCCATGCACATCGACTGGTACACCATGTATATAGCCAAGATTACGGGAAACTTCCAACTAGGATTTTTTTTTTTTACTGGGAATTTTGGGAAAGTTACTGGAATTTTGCAACCTTAACCATATTATAATATAATTGTAATTGTCTATCTCTCCATCAGGTCCAGCAGAACCAGGAGGACTCATGGGTGGCAGATGACGTGTGGCGTATGGAGATCTATGTCTCCCTGGGTATCATGGGTCTGGGTCTGCTGGCTTTATTAGCTATCTCCTCTCTTCCCTCCATTTCTGATGCCCTCAACTGGAGAGAGTTCACCTGGGTGCAGGTATCTATCTGACCCTGAAAAAATATTATTTTCTGTCTGACTGTCCGTATGTCCTTCCATTCAGCTGTCTGTCTGCGTGTCTCTCGATGATTTAAGTGGTCAGTGTTTCCTCTCCAGCATCTACAGTTGAAGTCGGAAGTTTACATACACTTAGGTTGGAGTCATTAAAACTTGTTTTTCAACCACTCCACACATTTCTTGTTAACAAACTATCGTTTTGGCAAGTCGGTTAGGACATCTACTTTGTGCATGACACAAGTAATTTTTCCAACAATTGTTTACAGACAGTTTATTTCACTTATAATTCACTGTATCACAATTTAAATTGACTGTGCCTTTAAACAGCTTGGAAAATTCCAGGAAATGATGTCATGGCTTTAGAAGCTTCTGATAGGCTAATTGACATCATTTGAGTCAATTGGAGGTGTACATGTGGATGTATTTCAAGGCCTACCTTCAAACTCAGTGCCTCTTTGCTTGACATCATGGGAAAATCAAAAGAAATCAGCCAAGACCTCAGAAAAAAAATGGTAGACCTCCACAAGTCTGGTTCATCCTTGGGAGCAATTTCCAAACGCATGAAGGTACCACGCTCATCTGTATAATCAATAGTACGCAAGTATAAACACCATGGGACCACGCAGCCGTCATACCGCTCAGGAAGGAGACGCGTTCTGTCTCCTAGAGATTAACGTACTTTGGTGCAAAAAGTGCAAATCAATCCCAGAACAACAGCAAAGGACCTTGTGAAGATGGTGGAGGAAACAGGTACAAAAGTATCTATATCCACAGTAAAACGAGTCCTATATCGACATAACCTGAAAGGCCGCTCAGCAAGGAAGAAGCCACTGCTCCAAAACCGCCATACAAAAGCCAGACTATGGTTTGCAACTGCACATGGGGACAAAGATCGTACATTTTGGAGAAATGTCCTCTGGTCTGATGAAACTAAAATAGAACTGTTTGGCCATAATGACCATCGTTATGTTTGGAGGAAAAAGGTGGTACCTTGCAAGCTGAAGAACACCATCCCAACCGTGAAGCACGGGGGTGGCAGCATCATGCTGTGGGGGTGCTTTGCTGCAGGAGGGACTGGTGGACTTCACAAAATAGATGGCATCATGAGGAAGGAAAATTATGTGGATATATTGAAGCAACATCCCAAGACATCAGTCAGGAAGTTAAAGCTTGGTCGCAAATGCGTCTTCCAAATGGACAATGACCCCAAGCATACTTCCAAAGTTGTGGCAAAATGGCTTAAGGACAACAAAGTCAAGGTATTGGAGTGGCCATCACAAAGCCCTGACCTCAGTCCTATAGAAAATGTGTAGGCAGAACTGAAAAAGTGTGTGAGAGCAAGGAGGCCTACAAACCTGACTAAGTTACACCAGCTCTGTCAGGAGGAAGGGGTCAAAATTCACCCAACTTATTGTGGGAAGCTTGTGGAAGGCTACCCAAAATGTTTGACCCAAGTTAAACAATTTAAAGGCAATGCTACCATATACTAATTGAGTGTATGTAAACTTCTGACCCACTGGGAATGTGATGAAATAAATAAAAGCTGAAATAAATAATTCTCTCTACTATTATTCAGACATTTCACATTCTTAAAATAAAGTGGTGATCCTAACTGACCTAAGACAGGGAATTTTTACTAGGATTAAATGTCAGGAATTGTGAAAAACTTAGTTTAAATGTATTTGGCTAAGGTGTATGTAAACTTCCGACTTCATCTGTATTTATCTCTATTTGTGTCAATGACCCTGAATTTCACTGGCAGTCTGTCTGCTTGGCAGTACTTGTGGAACTTAGTAGCTGTTGACAGGCCTCCTTATTGTTTACCTATCTTCTGGTCCTTCCGTCCTGCAGAGGAGTCTGGGATATGCGGCCCTGGTCCTGTGTATGGCCCATGCTCTGGTCTACGGGTGGAGGAAGTGGGTTGAGCCTAAGCACTACGTGTGGTACACCCCTCCATCCTTCATCCTGGCCTCGCTCCTCCCAGCCACCGTCCTATTGGTCAAGGCCGTGCTGCTGCTGCCTTGCCTGGACCGGAGGCTGGGGCAGATTCGTCGAGGATGGGAGAGGCCCCGCCCCCCAAGGGGAAGGGGAGTGACTGAAAAATGACACAGCAGTGACGATTGATAAATTGTTTCAATTATGGGATAAGACCGGAAGCTTGGTCTCTGGAACTCAAGGATAATCGGTGCTGGTTGATGGACAACATAAAGTGGCCACTGCACAGTTCCACTCTTCTGCATATTATACAGATATCTGTTTCACTTCCTGATTATAGAGGTGACAGACTCTGTAGTCTATACACAGTGTGTTTACTGAATTGATGTCCTGAGAGCGTAGCCTGGTTAAGCAGACTGACTTCTGCGCTCATGTTTTGTTTCACTGAGATATTGCAGGATCAGACAAGGCTACTGAGAATGCTCAGCTCAGTTGAAGGTTAAAGAAAAACGAAGGACCATCTTGTGGCATGTTTGCACCCAGTCAGGGAAACATGGAGAAACCAAAGCCTGCTCCTCTTAGACAAAAGTTCTATAAGTAAGTAGTTAGTGCATAGTAATGTTATTTAATGTCAAACTGTAGACAATGTAAAATGTAGTGCACTGTATAAGGAATAGGGTGCCATTTGGGTCATACTTTCTTTTTTTATTTCTTTTTATCTTTTTGGGGGGTAGATCAGCTTAATATTGCAGATAGATTGTAACTTCCATCAATGTAATCCCCCATGTTTTTTATATATATATACTCCTCTTTATTACTTTTCAACTTTTCTTACTATCTACACCTTATGGACACAGTCAATTTTACAATAATTCTATTTTATTTGTTTTTGCTCCTGAACTTCTTCTACTCTCAACCTCTCCGATCATTTTCATGATGTCCATCCGGTTTGCTTCTACAGTGGGGAGAACAAGTATTTGATACACTGCCGATTTTGCAGGTTTTCCTACTTACAAAGCATGTAGAGGTCTGTAATTTTTATCATAGGTACACTTCAACTGTGAGAGACGGAATCTAAAACAAAAATCCAAACAATCACATTGTATGATTTTTAAGTAATTAATTTGCATTTTATTGCATGACATAAGTATTTGATCACCTACCAACCAGTAAGAATTCCGGCTCTCACAGACCTGTTAGTTTTTCTTTAAGAAGCTCTCCTGTTCTCCACTCATTACCTGTATTAACTGCACCTGTTTGAACTCGTTACCTGTATAAAAGACACCTGTCCACACACTCAATCAAACAGACTCCAACCTCTCCACAATGGCCAAGACCAGAGAGCTGTGTAAGAACATCAGGGATAAAATTGTAGACCTGCACAAGGCTGGGATGGGCTACAGGACAATAGGCAAGCAGCTTGGTGAGAAGGCAACAACTGTTGGCGCAATTATTAGAAAATGGAAGAAGTTCAAGATGACGGTCAATCACCCTCGGTCTGGGGCTCCATGCAAGATCTCACCTCGTGGGGCATCAGTGATCATGAGGAAGGTGAGGGACCTGCCCAGAACTACACAGCAGGACCTGGTCAATGACCTGAAGAGAGCTGGGACCACAGTCTCAAAGAAAACCATTAGTAACACACTACGCCGTCATAGATTAAAATCCTGCAGCGCACGCAAGGTCCCCCTGCTCAAGCCAGCGCATGTCCAGGCCCGTCTGAAGTTTGCCAATGACTATCTGGATGATCCAGAGGAGGAATGGGAGAAGGTCATGTGGTCTGATGAGACAAAAATAGAGCTTTTTGGTCTAAACTCCACTCGCCGTGTTTCGAGGAAGAAGAAGGATAAGTACAACCCCAAGAACACCATCCCAACCGTGAAGCATGGAGGTGGAAACATCATTCTTTGGGGATGCTTTTCTGCAAAGGGGACAGGACGACTGCACCGTATTGAGGGGAGGATGGATGGGGCCATGTATCGCGAGATCTTGGCCAACAACCTCCTTCCCTCAGTAAGCGCATTGAAGATGGGTCGTGGCTGGGTCTTCCAGCATGACAACGACCCGAAACACACAGCCAGGGCAACTAAGGAGTGGCTCAAGCATCTCAAGGTCCTGGAGTGGCCTAGCCAGTCTCCAGACCTGAACCCAATAGAAAATCTTTGGAGGGAGCTGAAAGTCTGTATTGCCCAGCGACAGCCCCAAAACCTGAAGGATCTGGAGAAGGTCTGTATGGAGGAGTGGGCCAAAATCCCTGCTGCACTGTGTGCAAACCTGGTCAAGACCTACAGGAAACGTATGATCTCTGTAATTGCAAACAAAGGTTTCTGTACCAAATATTAAGTTCTGCTTTTCTGACATATCAAATACTTATGTCATGCAATAAAATGCAAATTAATTACTTAAAAATCATACAATGTGATTTTCTGGATTTTTGTTTTAGAGTCCGTCTCTCACAGTTGAAGTGTACCTATGATAAAAATTACAGACCTCTACATGCTTTGTAAGTAGGAAAACCTGCAAAATCTGCAGTGTATCAAATACTTGTTCTCCCCACTGTATATGCCATATCTTTCTAACTGTGCTCTTTCCCAAAAGCTCCCAACATACAACCTATATACTTATTATGGACACAGTATGCTTACATTATTAGTTATCTTGTTATTATTTGTTGTTATTTGTTATTAGTCCCATCCTTCAACTCCATTCAATACCTCCCATCTATCTCTTGACACCATCCATATAGGATTTCTATTTGCCATATATATTTCAACCGTACTGTGATGTTTTACAAAAGTTCTGAACCTTTCTATTCTCATTGCTTCTACAGATTGTGAATTAATAATAAACAATTTTGCTCAAAGTATTATTATATTATTGATCGATTGACTATGACTTTTCAGATTACCCAGTAATGCTATCTGCAAGGTTAGCTCCAGGTAAATATTGCAATCCTTTAGCCATTCCTGGACCTGTGTCCAAAAACAAGCTACAAATGGACAGAACCAAAACAAATGATCTAATTATTCTGTCTCTTCACAGCAAAATCTGCAGAGCTGGGAAGATTGTATCCCCCATATAAATAACATTCTATTGGTAGCAATAATTTTATATAATAATTTAAATTGCAAGATTCAAATGTTTTAATCCGGTGTCGTTTTGCGTGTCAGTTCATAAACACTATGCCATGGGATCGGTATGTCAAAAAGTCTCTTCCCAACTATTTTGCAATCTATATGGGACGGCTGTCAATCCTTTGGTCCTTAAGTGAAACTGATATACTTTTTTATTTATCACAGTTTTCCTTAACCAATTATGTTCTTTAATGCAAGGCCGACAGACAAGTTCCCCCTTCCACTTTCCACTTTTGCGGTAAGGCTGCAATTATTTGGTTGTAATTTTGGGTAGAGCAGACATTTCCGTATGTTTTTGTTAGCTGCATGTGCGACATAACTACACCAGTCCTACCGATGATATCATTTACGAAGATTATACCTTTTTTAAACATTCTGTCAAAAAATAAAGTTTTTTTTCAATTAGTATATTTGAATTTAACCACAATATTTGTTGCATTATTTGTTCTGTAGTTTCTGGAGGATTAAATTGAAATTGCAACCAACTTTCTATGGCTTGTTTTAGAAATAGTGATATTTGGGAGATTATTTCCTTTTCAAATAACTGAAAATGAGTGGTTGTAATCTGAATAAAGGGAAAAAGGCCATTCTTGAACATTGGTTGAGACAATCTTACTAATTTGCTTGAGAACCAGTTCGGATTTAAGTATAACTTTTGTTTGACTGAAGCTTTTAGTGATAGGTCTAATGCTTTAATATTTAATAATTTCAGTCCTCCGAATTCATATTCATTATATAAATAGGCCCTTTTAATTTTGTCTGGCTTGCTGTTCCAAATAAAATTGAATATTTTTTTCTCATATAATTTAAAAAACTGTTCGCTAGGCGTAGGCAAGACCATAAGCAAATAGGTAAACTGGGATAATACTAAAGAGTTAATCAGGGTGATTTTTCCACAAATTGACAGGTATTTACCTTTCCATGGTAGCAAGATCTTATCTATTTTTGCTAACTTTCTATTAAAATTTATTGAAGTGAGATCATTTATTTCCTTTGGGATATGTATTCCGAGTATATCCACATCACCATCAGACCATTTTATTGGTAAACTACATGGTAATATAAAAATTGTATTTTTTAGTGATCCAATACATAATATAGTACATTTGTCATAATTTGGTTGTAATCCAGAGAGGTTAGAGAATGTACCTAGATCCTCTATGAGGCTGTGGAGGGATTCTAGTTGTGGATTTAAAATAAAACATGAATCATCAGCGTACAATGACACCTTTGTTTTTAAGCCCTGGATTTCTAATCCTCTGATATTATTATTGGATCTGATTTTAATAGCTAACATCTCAATGGCCACAATAAATAGATATGCCGATAGTGGACAACCTTGTTTCACTCCTCTTGACAGTTTAAAACTTTCTGAGAAATAGCCATTATTTACTATTTTACACCTAGGGTTACTATACATGATTTTGACCCATTTTATAAGAGATTCTCCAAAATTGAAATGCTCCAGGCATTTATATATAAACCCCAGTCGTACTTTATCAAATGCCTTTTCGAAGTCTGCTATGAATAGCAGGCCTGGTTTCCCATATTTTCCATAGTGTTCTATTGTTTCCAATACTTGCCTTATATTATCTCCAATGTATCTTCCATGTAAAAAACCTGTCTGATTAGAATGAATAATATCCGACAATACCTTTTTAATTCTATGCGCTATATATTTTGCTAGAATTTTTGCATCACAACACTGAAGTGTAAGGGGCCTCCAATTTTTTTAATGGACTGGATCTTTATATTTTCCACTTGTATCCTGTTTCAGTAATAATGAGATCAGACCTTCTTCTTGAGTGTCAGATAATCTACCATTTACATAGGAGTGGTTAAAACATGCTAATAACGGTCCTCTTAGTATATAAAAAAAGGTTTGGTATACCTCGACTGGTATGCCATCCAACCCTGGAGTTTTCCCGGATTTAAAGTCTTTAATTGCATCCAGAAGTTCCTCATCTGTAATTTCACCATCACATATGCTTATGTATTCTTGATCATTTCTAATGTATAAAAACGTGAGTAATGTTGAAAAACATTACTTTATCCTATTCTAACGAGTACTTGGCCCGTTTTTGTATGAAACTGTTTAATCTGAGGATGCTCAACTAGTACTTTTTTTTTCTCATCAAGATTCAACCTCACATGGGATTTAGCTTTTGCAAATGAATGATACTACTCCAATACTGAAATCCTAAAAGGATATATGACCTGTGTCCCTAACTGAAGAAGACACCTCGTTTTGAGGACATAGTGTAAACTTCAGTTACAGCTCTACCTGCGTTGCATTAGTGCGCTGCGCTACCTCCCCTTTATGCGTGGTATGATGCTCGTCGCTGGAACGTGCTCTGCCTGCGAGAGAGGCATCCGCTCCGTGTCTGTATGCATGACAGCGCTGCAGAGCCGAAGCACAGCCACAGCCAGATCCACCTCCCAGAGAGAGGGAGGGGAGACCGACAGACAGACCTGTGGCGATCAGCTGGCTGGATGCGTGTTATTCGTGCAGTTGTGTCCTTACCACCTCCATGAAAGGTATGGCTGTAACCTTGCGATTGACGCACACATTTACACACACTTGACACGCAGCCTATGTACATACACCAGTGAGCTATAGTATGGTATATTTGTAGAGCGTAATAATGTATTACATTGTATAATGGAGTCTGAAGCTAAATAATTCCTCTGCGATGTGGAGCCTGGTTAGTCTGCACTAGCAGCAATCTGTATTCTGGATGAGATGAGTCATAATGTCTAAACCTCGATTGGCGGGATTATTTTTCTCTCCTAGAACATTCGCTTCAACATTAGGAATGCATGGTTTACAATGAATTATTTGTAGCATATTGTAAATTGTTTGTGATAATAGCTCTACAGGTTAAATCGCGCATTTTACGCGAAGATATTTCAAAGTCACCAAAGGACATATTGTGACATGCCAGTGCCCTTCAAAAATATTGAATGTGCAGATTATACTGTATTTCTCAAAATATGTCATAGGTTAGATAATTTAAATAATATGATCTCTAGGTGATAAGATTACATTGGTGACATATTTTTATAACCTGATAGCAACCTATAGCCTACTATACTAATTTACTATCATGTTGTAGTAGGTAATCTAGTAGGTTAATATTATTTGAATATGAATTAGACATATTTTTTGGCTGGTTTGACATACAGTACATCACCCACATATATTAGATTCCACCCTGATTTATCTAATCGATTTGATTTATTCTACAAATTGCAGGCAGTTAGATCATTTAATATAAACCAATGAAGGTCCCCCAGCTTTGCATCATCATAATGTGTTCCCAGTATTAAAACATCCAGACCACCAAAGGAGCAATCAGCATCCCAAACTAATAAAGCTCTGCAATGAATGTCTCCAGTGTGACTGTGCTTGGCCTAACAAGCTGTTGCTGCATCCTGCCAAGTAAAAAGGAGGAATGCCTTCTTGAAAAATAGGCTAGGGAACCAGGCAGCTGGGTGGATAGATGTTACCAAGGGTACTTACTCTGTTCTGGTCAGAGAGCAAGCAAACCGCAGTTCACACATTTGGAGGCAATGTACTACAGTGTGAATGTTCAGTGTATTTTTATTCTTATAATGTAAAGTTATAGCCAGACACCATCTGTCTTTATGCTCAAATCAAGTACTGTACATAACTAACTAACCATATTCCACCATCCTAGAACCTGAGACGTCCTCCTAGAGGACAGGAGAGGTCTGGAGCCTGAGGATGGACACCATCTCCATGCTGGGCAGTGGCTGCAGCAGCCCGGCTTACACCCACACAGCCCACCCCACCACCCCCTCCCTGTTCCTCCCCAACGGGGTGATGAAGAACGGCCCCAGGGACCCTCCTCCCCATGGCCCCCTCCCCAAGCCTGTTGTGGCCATCCTGGGCTCAGGTGACTTCTCCAAGTGCCTGACCATCCGTCTGCTCCGCTGTGGCTTCCACGTGGTGGTGGGGAGCCGCCAACCCAAACGGGCCGCTGAGTTCTTCCCTCATGTTGTTGATGTGACCCACCATGAAGACGCTGTGGGTAAAGCTGCAGTGGTTTTCCTCGCTATCCGCAGGGAGCATTATTCTGTTCTCTGGGACCTCAAACATCTGCTGGCAGGGAAGGTGTGTATGTGTGTGTGTGTGTGTGTGTTGGGGGATTGAGTTGTTTTTTTCCTCATCAATCTACACACAGTGCTCCATAATGACAAAGCAAAAACAGGTTTTTAGACATTTTTACAAATGTATAAAAAAAAAAAAGAACGGAAATATCACATTTACATAAGTTTTCCATTCTTCTTCTTCTTCTTCTTCTTCTTCTTCTAAGGTTCTGGTGGACGTGAGCAACAACCGCCGTGTGAACCAGTACCCTGAGTCCAACGCTGAGTACCTGGCCTCCCTGCTCCCAGACTCTACAGTGGTGAAGGGCTTTAATGTCATATCAGCCTGGGCTATGCAGTCTGGACCCAAAGATGCCAGCAGGCAGGTAAGATGGAAGAAGAGGACTGTGTCCCAAATGGCTCCCTGTGTCCCAAATGGCACCCTGCGTCACAAAGGGCTCTGCTCAAAAGTAGTAAACTATTTAGGGAATAGGGTGCCATTTGGGACACACCAAGGTTTATTTCAGGATTTACTTATTCAGAATTAATTCAGGATCAAACACTCTTAAACCCGGTCCCACTGTTTAACTCATTGCACAGTTAGTCATTCGTTTTTTACTTAAAAATATTGTATTGCATAAACCACGCAAAGCGACATGACTAAATGAGTCTTTTAACATAAATAGAATGTCTCCCCTGATACAGACTTGTTGCAGGTAACAAACCACTCAGTCTATTAAAGTGAGTCCCAGAGCTGAATCTGCTGAAATAACAGTGTTGGCAGCCAAGGCAGTATAGATGTTGACCTGTTCGTCTAGCATGGTTCCAGATCTGTTTCTGCTGTGGTGCCGAACTGGCAAGACAGCACAAACAGATCTGGAACCATGTTAGGCAACAAAATGTCTACAGAGAAATTAAATGGCAGCATCAGACTCTGACCTCGACAACTTATTGTTAAAACGAGAGGCTGCCTGGATCTTTAATTTAAAGACCCTTGCTCCCTTCGGTCTCAACGTAGACTTTGATTTGAAGCCATTCTTGTGATTATTGTGATTTTGCTATTCATTGTAAATGTTTGTGGGCCTATGTAGCCAAGTTGAATCTATGATCGTATGCTATCTATACATGTTTTTTGTATATTCTGTTTATCTGTGAATTAACCAATGATATCTGGCTACACCCAGCCATGATTACAGACACCTGTGTGTGTCCTTTGACACTATATAAACTAGTGACCCGCAGTGTTTGTCATTATACCCTGATGAAGATAGCTTGTCTGTCAAAACGTTGGCTATTAGTTTATTAAATTATTGCATCTGAGCCCCTAGAGTGTGACTCTCCTTTTCTTTTTCAACAGACTCCTGTTGCAGCATCAGACTGCAACAGGATCAGCTGAATGGCTGCTGATAGCCTCAAGCATCCATAAAATAACCTCTAAGCATCCATTGTCCTAACACTCGTTTGTTGTGCTCTTTTGGGCAGCAACTCCCTCCCTCTGCATCATTCTCAGTTGTTCAATGTCAGTTGTTACAAACCATTGTTGTTGACACAATCTGATTGACTGACCTTTCAAAGAGGTGCACTGACATTCTCCTCAATACAGACCCACCCCCTACGGCATGATGATGTCATATGCGGGGAACATGATTATGACATATCGCATCTCAGGATAAAGTCACTGCACCCTCATCTTTATTCCTATGATATCTCACTAGAAGGAGTGTAAGGCAAACTACTGAGCTGGTTAAAGCATTAACAGTCCGGTCTGTGCTTGCCTGGGGGACTAATTCCTCCAAATATTATGCAAGGATTATAGTGAGACACTACAGCTGAGAAGAACGTTTTACGCTGCCAGCCTTCTTCAAATAAAACCATTCTGGTCACACACACACACACAGTAAATTCTATTAACACAATTGGGACAATGAAAAAACAAGCTCGATATTATGAACCAGGGAATCAGATTGTGTTTGTGTCAGTCACAAGGGATAGAATCAACCACATCCATGTTTTCCTTTTACATTATTATGTCTGCCAATTATTTGTTATTTCATGCCTATGGCAGTGTAAAAAAAGCCTTTATAAAGGAGTGTTTGATTGATAAGATAAGACTTCATCGAGGCTGTTTAAAAAAAAAGTACTCTACACATTACAACATCACATTCACAATACATACATTGCACATTGACCGTGTCAACATAGATTGATTGACTGACTGATTGACTACCTTGATTTATTATTGTTTGATTACCCATTCCTCTAGGTGTACATCTGCAGTAACTCTGTGGAGGGCAGACAGCAGATCATGGAGCTGACCAGACAGCTCAACTTCACCCCAGTGGACATGGGAGCCCTCTCCTCCTCCAGAGAGATTGAGAACATGCCCCTGCGCCTCTTCCCTGACTGGAAAGGCCCCGTGCTAGCCACTGTGGCTCTCTCCATCTTCTTCTTCGCCTATTCATTCGTCCGGGACATCATCCACCCGTATGTGAAGAGCAAACAGAGTGACTTCTATAAGATCCCTATAGAGATGGTGAATAGGACTCTGCCCACGGTGGCCATAACACTACTCGCTCTAGTCTACCTGGCGGGCCAGCTAGCCGCGGTCCACCAGCTGTACTATAGGACTAAGTACAGGAGGTTCCCTCACTGGCTGGAGGGCTGGCTACAGAGCAGGAAACAGCTGGGGCTGCTGAGCTTCTTCCTAGGCTGTGTCCACGTTCTCTACAGCCTCTGTCTACCCATGAGGAGATCAGAGAGATACCTGCTCCTCAACATGGCCTACCAACAGGTGGGTGATGGACAGAGGAAGGGAGGGAGGAAGGGAGAGAGAGAGAAAGGGAGGGGGGAAGGGGAGAGGGAGGGTGTGTGTGTATCAAATCAAATCAAATCTTATTGGTCGCATACACATATTTAGCAGATGTTATTGCGGGTGTAGTGAAATGCTTGTGTTCCTAGCTCCAACAGTGCAGTAATATCTAACAATACACAACAATACACACAAATCTAAAAGTAAAATAATAGAATTAAGAAATATATAAATATTAGGATACGCAATGTCAGAGTCCGGAGTATAAATATATATATATACTGTATGTGTTTGTGTCAAGTCAAAGACTCCCTTCATAAATGCTGTTGTTTATGTAATAGAGGTCTGTAGATGTTTTATCAGATTTAAGTTCACTTTGGAATTGTGAATCAGCAACAGTGCAGCAACACTGTAACTGTTATGCAGTTATATTCTCCTCTATAATTCTAGTCTTGAGAGTGACCTACATTGAAGTGATTGGATGTTTGGCCTCAGAGTGACTCATCTATTTGTGCTGTGGCTCCTGAGGCATGGCCATAAACAACACTTACGACAGCCAGCCAGCTAGCTGCACTGGGAAGAGCACAGAGGGACAAACAACATGCACATACTGTAGATCATTCGGTTGCCATATAGTACACAACTTCTTCTTCACAAACTAATTGTAATGCATCTTTTCCTGATGGTGTTCATATAAATGAACCTATAAGCTATGTTCTCATTCAAATTGGGTATTGTGAACAACATACATAAAATCAAATCAAATCAACATTTATTTGCCACATGCGCCGAATACAACAGGTGTAGACCTTACAGTGAAACGCTTACTTACAAGCCCTTAACCAACAATGCAGTTTAAAGAAAAAAAGCGTTAAGTAAAAAATAGGTAACTAAAAACTAAAACTAACAAATAATTAAAGAGTAGTAGTAAAACAGCAAGGCTATATATAGGGGGTACCGGTACAGAGTCAATGTGCGGGGGCACAGGTTAATCGAGGTAATTCGTACATTTACATTTTAGTCATTTAGCAGATGCTCTTATCCAGAGCGACTTACATTATCTTTTTTTTTTTTCATACTGGCCCCCCGTGGTAATCGAACCCACAACCCTGGCGTTGCAAACGCCATGCTCTACATCCCTGCCGGCCATTCCCTCCCCTACCCTGGACCAATTGTGCGCCGCCCCATGGGTCTCCCGGTCGCGGCTGGCTACGACAGAGCCTGGATTCGAACCAGGATCTCTAGTGGCACAGCTAGCGCCTTAGACCACTGCGCCACTCGGGAGAGTAGATGGTAGGTAGAGTTAAAGTGACTATCCATACATAATAAACAGAGAGTAGCAGCAGCGTAAAAGGGGGGGGGGGGGGGGGGGGGAACAATGCAAATAGTCCGGGTAGCCACTTTATTAGCTGTTCAGGAATCTTATCGCTTGGGGGTAGAAGCTGTTAAGAAGCCTTTTGGACCTAGACTTGGTGCTCCGGTACAGCTTGCCGTGCGGTAACAGAGAGAACAGTCTATGACTAGGGTGGCTGGAGTCTTTGATAATTTTTAGGGCCTTCCTCTGACACCACCTGGTATAGAGGTCCTGGATGGCAGGTGCCTTGTGGTCGGAGGCCGAGCAGTTGCCATACCAGGCAGTGATGCAACCAGTCAGGATGCTCTCGATGGTGCAGCTGTATAACTTTTTGATGATCTGAGGACCCATGCCAAATCCTTTCAGTCTCCTGAGGAGGAATAGGCTTTGTCGTGCCCTCTTCACGACTGTCTTGGTGTGTTTGGACCATGATTGTTTGTTGGTGATGTGGACACCAAGGAACTTGAAGCTCTCAACCTGCTCCACTACAGCCCCGTCAATGAGAATGGGGGCGTGCTCGGTCCTCTTCTTTTTCCTGTAGTCCACAATCATCTCCTTTGTCTTGATCACGTTGAGGGAGAGGTTGTTATCCTGGCACCACACGGCCAGATCTCTGACCTCCTCCCTATAGGCTGTCTCATCGTTGTCGGTGATCAGGCCTACCACTGTTGTGTCGTCGGCAAACTTAATGATGGTGTTGGAGTCGTGCCTGGCCATGCAGTCATGGGTGAACAGGGAGTACAGGAGGGGACTGAGCACGCACCCCTGAGGGGCCCCCGTGTTGAGGATCAGCGTGGCAGATGTGTTGTTACCTACCCTTACCACCTGGGGGCGGCCGTCAGGAAGTCCAGGATCCAGTTGCAGAAGGAGGTGTTTAGTCCCAGGGTCCTTAGCTTAGTGATGAGCTTTGAGGGCACTATGGTGTTGAATGCTGAGATATAGTCAATGAATAGCATTCTCACATAGGTGTTCCTTTTTTCCAGGTGAGAAAGGGCAGTGTGGAGTGCAATAGCGATTGCATAATCTGTGGATCTGTTGGGGCGGTATGCAAATTGGAGTGGGTCTAGGGTTTCTGGGATAATGGTGTTAATGTGAGCTATGACCAGCCTTTCAAAGCACGTCATGGCTACAGACGTGAGTATTACGGTTCGGTAGTCATTTAGGCAGGTTACCTTAGTGTTCTTGGGCACAGGGACTATGGTGGTCTGCTAGAAACATGTTGCTTGCCTTGAAGCGAGCATAGAAGTAATTTAGCTCGTCTGGTAGGCTTGTGTCACTGGGCAGCTTGCGGCTGTGCTTCCCTTTGTAGTCTATAATAGTTTGCAAGCCCTGACACATCCGACGAGCGTCGGAGCTGGTGTAGTACGATTCAATCTTAGTCCTGTATTGACGCTTTGCCTGATGATGGTTTGTCGGAGGGCATAGCGGGATTTCTTATAAGTGTCCGGGTTAGAGTCCCGCTCCTTGAAATTGGCAGCTCTACCCTTAAACTCAGTGCGGATATTGCCCGTAATCCATGGCTTCTGGTTGGGGTATGTACGTACGGTCACTGTGGAGATGACGTCATCGATGCACTTAACTGATGTGGTGTACTCCTCAATGCCATCGGAAGAATCCCGGAACATATTCCAGTCTGTGCTAGCAAAACAGTCCCGTAGCTTAGCATCTGCGTCATCTTAGTTTTTGTTTGTAAGCAGGAATCAGGAGGATAGAGTTATGGTCAGATTTGCCAAATGGAGGGCGAGGGAGAGCTTTGTACGTGTCTCTGTGTGTGGAGTAAAGGTGGTCTAGAGTTTTTTTTCCCTCTGGTTGCACATTTAACATGCTGGTAGAAATTAGATAAAACGGATTTAAGTTTCCCTGCATTAAAGTCCCCGGCCACTAGGAGCGCTGCATCTGAATGAGCGTTTTCCTTTTTGCTTATGGCCCTATACAGCTCGTTAAGTGAGGTCTTAGCGCCAGCATCGGTTTGTGGTGGTAAATAGACAGCTGCGAAAAATATAGATGAAAACTCTCTTGGTAAATAGTGTGGTCTACAGCTTATCATGAGATACTCTACCTCAGGCGAGCAAAACCTTGCGACTTCCTTAATATTAGATTTCGTGCACCAGCTGTTGTTTACAAATATACACAGACCGCCACCCCTTGTCTTACCGGAGGCAGGTGTTCTATCTTGCCGATGCAGCGTATATCAATGTAGCCACGACTTTGTGAAACATAAGATATTACAGTTTTGAATGTCCCGTTGGTAGGATATCCGTGATCGTAGTTTGTCTATTTTGTTATCCAATGATTGTACGTTGGCTAATAGGACTGATGGTAGAGGCAGATTACCCACTCGCCGTCGGATCCTTACAAGGCACCCCGACCTACGTCCCCGATATCCCGAATGACGGGGATTTGGGCCTTGTCGGGTGTCTGAAGAAAATCCTTTGTGTCCGACTCGTTAAAGAAAAAATCTTTGTCCAGTACGAGGTGAGTAATCGCTGTCCTGATATCCAGAAACTCTTTTCGATCATAAGAGATGGTGGCAGAAACATTATGTACAAAATAAGTTACAAATAATGCGAAAAAACACCCACAATAGCACAATTGGTTAGGAGCCCGTAAAACGGCAGCCATCTCCTCCGCCGCCATTCTTTCATTACATATTGCAGTATATGTAACATTTCCAAAATGTACCTGCAACATTTATCCACTGATCTGTGTGGCGTACTGTAGGGCGGTATATCTGCATCTCCACCAGTTTAACCTCAGTTTCTTCATTCACGTCCTCCTCTGACCTTCATCTGTCTCTTACTGAACCCCCTCCCAGCATCCTTCACTCTCACACACAGAAACCCTTCTAGATGTGTGTGTGTGTGTCTGTGTGTCTGTCGATCCAGGCCACAGCATCAGCTGCGCTCTCAAGCACATCTCTCGCTGTGTGTTGCTTCTCAAACACACCTCTAGCTGTGTGTGTGTGTGTGTGTGTGTGTGTGTGTGTGTGTGTGTGTGTGTGTGTGTGTGTGAATCCAGGTCACCCACCCTGTCAGCCTGTCCTCTATTTCAGGCCTGTTAGCCCCATATGGCCTCTGAGGTGCTCCTGCAGTTGTATTGATATTTCTTGATGTGCCGCATGCTGTTCTATTTTATTTATACACACACACAACTGACTCAGCCAGTGGACTGTAGGTACTGTAGAGGCTTTTGTTAATCAATTAACACTGCCAAATTTAGACTGAAAACTAGGTCTTCCTAATTTAGATAAATCAGGCAGTGGCATTTTTGGGGGGATGATATTTAACCTTTGTGATTTATGAGTTATGTCTGTGTAATTTTCTGCTCAGGTGTGCATGTATGTGTGTGTGTGTGTGCGTGCGTGTGGTTGCTGAGGGCGGGAGTGACCGTTTATTTCATGTTAAATGGGTGTTTATTTGTGAATACACTATGCTTGTGTGTCTTTTTTGTATTGATATATGTGTGTACTGCATGCATGTGTGTTTGTGTTCTCCTCTCTGCAGGTCCATGCTAACGTGGAGAACTCGTGGAATGAGGAGGAGGTGTGGAGAGTAGAGATGTACCTGTCCTTTGGTATCATGAGCCTGGGACTCCTTTCTCTCCTGGCCGTCACCTCCATTCCTTCTGTCAACAGCGCTCTCAACTGGAGGGAGTTCAGCTTTATTCAGGTACTCAGACAGACACTTTTGATGATGATAATGATGGTGATGATGAGGAGGAGGAGGAAGATTATGACGATGAAGATGGTGACGGGATGATGGTGATGCCGAGGATGATGAACATTCTTATGGAAAGGCCTCTGATCAATAATACTGACTAAGAAATAATAACAAGCTGTCAACTCTGGGTCAAACAGTTTGTTTTCTGAGTAGTCTTCTTCATGTTGTTTGTAATCATGTTCTTACTGTTTCTCTCTCTCTTCTTTCTCTCTCTCTCTCTCTCTCTCTCTCTCTCTCTCTCTCTCTCTCTCTCTCTCTCTCTCTCTCTCTCTCTCTCTCTCTCTCTCTCTCTCTCTCTCTCTCTCTCTCTCTCTCCCCTAGTCGACGCTGGGCTACATCGCTCTGCTCATCGCTACGTTCCATGCTCTGCTGTTTGGCTGGAAGCGGGCCTTTGAGGAGGATGCTTACCGTTTCTACCTGCCTCCTAACTTCGTGGTGGCCCTGGCCCTGCCCATGTGTGTCATCCTGGGGAAGGTGTTCCTGCTGATCCCCTGTGTGGGACGGAGGCTCCACAGGATCAAACGGGGAGCTGAGAGCAGCCAGTACCGCCAGGACCCTGTTGGGGCAGCAGCACACGTCTCACCAGAGAGGGTCACTATCATGTGAATGATTGGGTGGAGGGGTGGATGGATGGATGGGTGGATGGATGGATAGCTAGATAGATACATGGATGGGTAGATGGACAGGTGAACGTATGACTGGATGGATGGATAAATGAATGAATTCACTTTATTGATCCTCAGAGGGGAAATTGGAGCCCTGGGTTGGTTGGGCCACACAACCAGACTGGGCCAGACTGCAGCATAGCCTATCTAGCTATCAATATTCTGCCAATGCTCTGCCAGTGCTCTAGCTAGCTACCACTGCCCTGCCAATGACCGACCAGACATACGTCTTTGCTCCTCAGTGACGCTGTGAAGACACGCTGCCGTGACCAACCATACTGTAGCATTTCCAACTCTCCAGACAATATCTATCCAAGATAATTAGCCTATATGCTATACGCGCTTGGTTCTGTGGTTTGGTCAGTGCTGCAAAGGGCCCAATGTGGTTCTGTGACTCTGTTGTCTGGGTATTGTCTGCAAATTGCCAATTTCCTTGTTGTAGAATTATAATAGTCATCATGGAATTATGTTCAGCCAAAGCTTTATGAACATACTGTACCATTTAGGTATATACATTTAGGAATTATGATATATGTAAAAAATAGTATTGTATGTGAAATCAATGTAAGAATGTTAAATGAGAATCAGACACTTGAGAAAGACATCTTAAGGTGATATGTGTCATTGTCTTCAACAGACTGAAAAATGTGCCAAAAAAACCCAAGGTATTTTTTTACACAGTCAATAGAAATTATTTAGCAGGTTATTGTTGAATCAAGCCATTTGTTGTCAATTGAAGTAATGTAATTGTGGAACAAGTTTCACATATATGTGTATTGATAATGCAGTACTGTATGATACACAGTCAAGTTTGGACACACCTAATCATTCAAGGGTTTTTCTTTATTTTTACTATTTTCTACATTGTAGAATAATAGTGAAGACATCAAAACTATGAAATAACACATATGGAATCATGTAGTAACCAAAAAAGTGTTAAACAAATCAATATATATTTTATATTTGAGATTCTTCAAAGTAGCTACCCTTTGCCTTGATGACAGCTTTGCACACTTGGCATTCTCTCAACCAGCTTCACCTGGAATGCTTTTCCAACAGTCTTGAAGGAGTTCCCACATATGCTGAGCACTTTTTGGCTGCTTTTCCTTCACTCTGCGGTCCAACTCATCCCAATCCATCTCAATTGGGTTGAGGTCGGGTGATTGTGGAGGCCAGGTCATCTGATGCAGCACCCCATCAATCTACTTCTTGGTCAAATAGCACTTACACAGCCTGGAGGTGTGTTGGGTCATTGTCCTGTTGAAAAACAAATGATAGTCCCACTATGCGCAAACCAGATGGAATGGCGTATCACTGCAGAATGCTGTGGTAGCCATGCTGGTTAAGTGTGCCTTGAATTCTAAATAAATCACAGACAGTGTCACCAGCATAGCACCATCACACCTCTTCCTCCATGCGTCACGGTGGGAACCACACATGCAGAGATAATCTGTTCACCTACTCTGTGTCTCACAAAGACATGGCGGTTGTAACCAAAAATCTCAAATTTGGACTCATCAGACCAAAGGACAGATTTCCACCGGTCTAATGTCCATTGCTCATTTTTCTTGGCCCAAGCAAGTCTCTTCTTCTTATTGGTGTCCTTTAGTAGTAGTTTCTTTGCAGCAATTCGACCATGAAGGCCTGATTCACACAGTCTCCTTTGAACAGTTGATGTTGAGATGTGTCTGTTACTTGAACTCTGAGAAGCATTTATTTGGGCTGGTAACTGTAATGAACTTATCCTCTGCAGCAGAGGTAACTCTGGGTCTTCCTTTCCTGTGGTGGTCCTCACGAGAGCCAGTTTCATCATAGCGCTTGATGGTTTTTGCGACTGCACTTGAAGAAACTTTCAAAGTTCTTGAAAATGTCTAGATTAATTGACCTTAGACTGTCATTTCTCTTTGCTTATTTGAGCTTATAGGGCTATCTTCTGTATATTTCACCCCTGCCTTGTCACAACACAACTGATTGGCTCAAACACATTAAGAAGGAAAGAAATACAATTTCACAAATTAACTTTTAACAAGGCACAGCTGTTAATTTAAATGCATTCCAGGTGACTACCTCATGAAGCTGGTTGAGAGAATGCCAAGTGTGTGCAAAGCTGTCGTCAAGGCAAAGGGTGGCTACTTTGAAGAATCTCAAATATGAAATATATTTAGATTTGTTTAACACTTTTTTGGTTACTACATGATTCCATATGTGTTATTTCATAGTTTTGATGTCTTCACTATTATTCTATAGTGTAGAAAATAGTAAAAATAAAGAAAAACCCTTGAATGAGTAGGTGTGTCCAAACATTTGACTGGTACTGTACATCCTAAAAAGGATAATTTCATGACACTATCCTTGGTATCAAATGTATTTACTAGTAGTCATACTTAACAAGAACACAACCATCAGTAGTGAATTATGTGACAATCCACAAAGACTTGATCCAGATGTTTGTATACTATTGTTAAGTTTGTTTATTTCCTAGTTATTCTGCTTGGATTAAGAGAGCCTAGTCAGAAAGAGACCATATCAGCTATCAACCTGCAAGATGCCAAAAAAACAATTGAATTGTTATCTAGCCTATCCCTCTGTATTAGAGTAAGTTTAAAGAGCATGTGTGGCAACGTGTTTGAAAATACACTGAACAAAAATATAAACACAACATGTAAAGTGTTGGTCCCATGTTTCATGAGCTGAAATAAAGATTCCCAAAATGTCCCATACACACAAAAAGCTTATTTCTCTCAAATTTTGTGCACAAATTTGTTTACGTCCCTGTTAGTGAGCATTTCTCCTTTGCCAAGATCATCCATCCACCTGAAAGGTGTGGCATATCAAGAAGCTGATTAAACAGCATGATCATTACACAGGTGCACCTTGTGCTGGAGACAATAAAAGGCCACTCTAAAATGTGCTGTTTTGTCACACAACACAATGCCACAGATGTCTCAAGTTTTGAGGGAGCGTGCAACTGGCAATCTGACTGCAGGAATGTCCACCAGAGCTGTTGCCAGATAATTGAATATTAATTTCTTTACCATAAGCCGCGTTTTAGAAAATTTGGCAATACATCCAACCGGCCTCACAACCGCAGACCCCGTATATAGCGTTGTCAACGTTGTCAACGTTGTGAACAGAGTGCCCCATGGTTGTGGTGGGGTTTTGGTATGGGCAGGCATAAACTACAGACAATGAACACAATTGCATTTTATCTATGGCAATTTGAATGCACAGATATACCGTGACGAGATCCTGAGGACCATTGTTGTGCCATTCATCCGCCACCATCACCTTATGTTTCAGCATGATAATGCACAAACCCATGTCACAAGGATCTGTACACAATTCCTGGAAGCTGAAAATGTCCCAGTTCTTCAATGGCCTGCATACTCACAAGACATGTCACATTTTACATTTTAGTCATTTAGCAGATGCTCTTTTCCAGAGCGACTTACAGTTAGTGAGTGCATACATTTTTCAAATTGGCCCCCCATGGGAATCGACAACCCTGGCGTTGCAAGTGCCATGCTCTACCAACTGAGCTACAGGAGGCTATGTCACCCATTGAGCATGTTTGGGATGGTCTGGATCGACGTGTACTACAGCGTGTTCCAGTTCCCTCCAATATCCAGCAACTTCGCACAGCCATTGAAGAGGAGTGGGACAACATTCCACAGGCCACAATCAACAGCCTGATCAACTCTATGCGAAGGAGATGTGTCCTGCTGCATGAGGCAAATGGTGGTCACACCAGATACTGACTGGTTTTCTGATACACGCCCCTACCTTTTTTATTGAAGGTATCTGTGACCAACAGATCCATATCTGTATTCCCAGTCATGTGAAATTCATAGATTAGGGCTTAATGAATTTATTTCAATTGATGGATTTCCTTATGTGAACTGAAACTCATTAAAACATTTGAACCCATATATTTTGTTCAGTATAAATATGATTTACTGTGTATTTCTCTATATTCAATTTCTTCTGCCATGTATGACAAAATGTTGCCGATTGTTTAATATTTTGATGAATAACCACCTACTGAGAAGAGAAGAGAAGAGAAGAGAAGAGAAGAGAAGAGAAGAGAAGAGAAGAGAAGAGAAGAGAAGAGAAGAGAAGAGAAGAGAAGAGCAATACATGCACTCAGGCCAGTACTTCACTTTAACCACTAGGGGTCAGTGCCTAACAACATTGATGGACTGGGTACCTCTCTTATACAGTACATGGATTCCCACCATCTAAACTAGTTACAGTTGAAGTCGGAAGTTTACATACACCTAGGTTGGAGTCATTAAAACTCGTTTTTCAACCACTCCACACATTTCTTGTTAACAAACTATCGTTTTGGCACGTCGGTTAGGACATCTACTTTGTGCATGACACAAGTAATTTTTCCAACAATTATTTACAAACAGATTATTTCACTTGTAATTCACTGTATCACAATTCCAGTGGGTCAGAAGTTTACACTAAGTTGACTGTGCCTTTAAACAGCTTGGAAAATTCCAGAAAATTATGTCATGGCTTTAGAAGTTTCTGATAGGCTAATTGACATCATTTGAGTCAATTGGAGGTGTACATGTGGATGTATTTCAAGGCCTACCTTCAAACTCAGTGCCTCTTTGCTTGACATCATGGGAAAATCAAAAGAAATCAGCCAAGACCTCAGAAAAAAAATTGTAGACCTCCACAAGTCTGGTTCATCCTTGGGAGCGATTTCCACGTTCATCTGTACAACAATAGTACGCAAGTATAAACACCATGGGACCACACAGCCGTCATACCGCTCAGGATGGAGACGCGTTCTGTCTCCTAGAGATGAACGTACTTTGGTGCGAAAAGTGCAAATCAATCCCAGAACAACAGCAAAGGACCTTGTGAAGATGGTGGAGGAAACAGGTACAAAAGTATCTATATCAACAGAAAAACGAGTCCTATATC